CACACACACACACACACACACACACACACACACACACACACACACACGCACACAGACCATGAATAGCTCACTTTCTCCCCCACCTGACAGCTACGTGAAATGACACCAAGTTGCTCTGAACTTGTCTGGACTGGTGAGCACAAATTCTGTGTCCACACCTCTATCAACATTGTGGATCACAGAAACTCTTTCTCTATAGCGCTCTGAAACAAAATAACCAAATATCTGAACATGTGCACAATCGTAATTAATGAATAATCTAAATTTGGGATTAGTACAAGTAAAATAAGGTCACCAAAATGGTTTTCTGTTGTTTTGAAACCTATATGTCATGCATTCGGTTTGTTCAATTTCAAAGTGACAGAAACTATACAGTGAAGAGGAAATAACCTCAGCCTACTAACACAGTTTACACAAGAGATCACTGAACCTGAAAGGATGTCAAGTGATACTGACTCATGATTAAGCTCCAGCCAAGAAAGTCTAATATGAGCAACAGGTCGAGGCAGGCAGCACTGCATAACATGAGGGCGAGGAATCCTCTCAGCTCTGCACTGTTAGCGGATTAGAGGGTGAACATTCAACTGGATGCTACGGATTGGGAGTTCCAGTATCTGGGCAACAGTGTTACGTCTTGCGTGTGTGTCGTGCTTTTTAGGACGTTTGCATGTGTGATAGGGCAACAAAAGAGCTCCAACCTGGGTGGTCCACAGCTGCAACAGCAGGGCTTTTGTCTGCATGTCTGCATCCATTCCCTGTTCCTGCAGGAAGTGATGGTAGCTCTGCTGCCAGGAAGTAGAGCTTGCGTTCAGACATCGAGGGGACAGCAGCTCCCATAGTCGCTCCTGGGATGCTTTGGCTATTTTGCTTTCCCCTGTTATCAAACCAACATGGATATTATATTCAAAGGTGCTCACTTTGCCTAATTTACACAAAGTACACATGGTAAAAATAAAAGAATGCTTTCTGTCTTCTTGCTCTGTTTTAACAAAACATCATCTGTTACAAAATTTGGTAAATCATATTTCAAAAGAACACCAATAAATGGCGTTATGACATGCCCATTGATAAATAAAAGGTAAGCATGCAAAGCTAGGGTATAAAACACTAAATACAACTTTATTGCTTTTGTGGGAATCAACAAGGTAAGCAGCAGGAAGGTGTTTATCAGTAAAATGTCCAGAAAGAGTTTAATTCTGACCAGGCCGACAAGCTAATGGCTAGTCAGAGTGTGGCCTGGACCAAAGTGGATTTTTGCGATTTTAGAACTAATACCACCGTTACATGACAGTTCATGCAAACAGTATTTTATGAACCAATACATTGTCAATTTTTGTATTAGATGGGTAATATGATGACGATTTTTGCTGCTTATATTTACAAATTAAACAGAGCTTACCTCGATTCAGTGAATCTCGAGCCAGTTTGGTGAGACGATCATCAAACTTTCGAAATTCCTTGTAGACTGCAGCTGCATTACCTTCCTTTTCAAACAGTGTAAGATATCCAGCTCTGTCAACAACAGCAGAGTAAAAAAAAAAACACACAAAAAAACTCATCTGTCATGGTGTGTAACGTTAACAATGCCACAACGTCTGCTCTTTTAACGCTGTCTGGTACCTGAAAAGAAGGCTGTAACAGAAGCCAAAGAGTTCATCCTCTGTCCACTTTGAAGAGCTGCATGATTCACAGTTATTCACGAGCAGGTTGTAAAGGTGAGTGCTCATGGAGCTGTTGAGCTTTTGGAGACTGAGACCTTGAAAATGCCTGACGAATGAAAAATCACAGAGGAGACTGAGTCTCAGAATCAACTAATCTCATTTCAAACTTCAGAAATGAATGGTTTAAAAGAGTCGTTACGTTTCCATCCATTTCCTCTCCGACGCAGGGTGGAGGTTTGGGAGTTGTAAACTGAAGACTCTTTTTATGAGCTGGCCTCTGATACGGCTGAAGTCGAAGCTGACGGTGTCGCTCAGCACACTGTCGAAAGAGTTTGGGTCCAGCAGCACCGTCACATAGTGTCCAGCAACACAAACCTAACAAGACACAATTCCACTTGTTCAAATAGTAAAACATGAAGAAATTAGGACTTGCTTGGGAAAATCTTTATACTGGTGACCACGGTTTAGGAAAAGTTCAGTCCTTGTTTAAACTTACAGTGAAGATATCCCCGTGTTTTTCTTTCATGCGTGCCAAAAACTTTGCAGCATCCTTCCCAAACTCAAGAGCGTGACCCAGCCATGGAATGAGCCCTTTGTCGAGAGGAGGCTCGTTCTTCCGTCTGTTACAAGGAAATTCATAATAACTATGACAGAGTGATGGTTTGCATATCTACATTTCACACAGTCATAAATCTCACCAAACGGGTTTGAAGTTTTACACAAATGCAGGCAAACAGAACCTCTTTTAATGAGGTTTAGATAACTCCTGTTGAGTCTGATGTAAAACAGAATGTCGAGTTTTAGTGTATTATTTTGTTGTTTCATAACAAAATTACGAGTTGTTGAACTCATTTTTTATCTTGGATGAAAATGATATTCTACGCCTGAACAAAAAGTAGTTTATTTAAGTACACAAAAATGAGGAAGTGTACTTGAAGGTTACTTTTTATAAACTTTATTTGATATACTTAAAAATAGTATAAAAATGTCCCAGTTTAGTCCAAACAAGTATTAAATCGGTATACTTTCTAGTACACTACAAGTATGGTGTGTAGTATACTTGATATACTTATACTTAACTTAAAGTATACTTGCAAAAATGAACTTCAAATGTATTACTTTTTGTTAAGGGACAGAATACGCCATCCTATTCAGTGGTACTTTGATTTGAACTTTTAATGATAACTATTCAAAAGTTTTCCTAAAATAAAATATAAATCAATAAGGCTTGCTTTCAGACTGACAATAACAAATAATTGGGCCAACTTTTACAAAAGAATGAAAAGTATATCTGCAAAAAATCAACAGCAGCTTTACCTTGAGCGACTGGAGTAGAGAAGAACCAGAACGAAGAGTCCGTTAAGAAGCAAAAATATCATCCACAGCATTTTCCTTGGAGGCCTGACACTTGAGCTGCACTGTAAATAATGACTCTTTTAGCTGCTGGCAACTTAAAGTTCTGAGCCCGGCTTAGCTGTAACTACCACTTGTGAGAGGAGGCGTGGAAAGGTGTGGCTGGGGACACAAAGTCTTAGCCAATACTGCATCGTCGTCAGAGTCAGACGTCCCAGAAACCACAACATGCTTACAGTACGTTGCATAAACTGAAACAAAACTAAAATGAGAACAGATTATTCATAGTTCAATGTGAGCCTGATTTATAGCTTGTCACATATTTCACAACACTGTCAAACAACTTAAACTGTATACACCATGAGGTTCGTAGGAAAGTCACATACCTGCAGATTTCACTGCTGTGACATCATCAAACAACACATCTTTCCTTTACTAAGAGTTATAATTAAAGAAGTCTGACGCGCGAGTTTCTC